GAGGGAGGCAGAGTCCCCGTGGCTCTCGGGGCACAGGATGGGAAGGAGGGAGGCAGAGTCCCCGTGGCTCTCGGGGCGCAGGGGATGGGAAGGAGAGAAGCAGAGCGGCTCGGCCGCGCTGCCCGCGCTCCTCGGGTGGGACTCGCCGGTCCCAGCGGAGCAGGGCACAGCCCGGGGGTCCCCAGCCGGGAACGGCTCCACGCGGAATTCCCACACCGTCCCCGGCTCCCGGCCAGCCTCTCAGCAGCACAGGGCGAGCGAGTAAAGCAACGCGAATCATGTGAAATGCCGCTCGCCGCCGATGCGATTGAGCGGAGCGCAATGTTCTAAACGAGCTGGAATGTAAAACTTTTAACCCGGACAGCCGGAGCCCGCAGCAGGAACACACAGGGGTTATTGCGGGGTTATTTCGGTCCTTGCGGGGTCCCGAAGCGGGGAGCAGCGCAGCTCTTGTCCGAAAGGCGGAGGAATGGCCCCAAAACGGAGCGCGGGGGGGCTGGCACGGCCTTCCCCGGGCAGCGCCCGAGGCCGGCGGGGCGGGCAGGGCAGGCGGGCTCGCTCACCTGCGATGGCCGAGTCGTCCAGGTGGGAGCCGGGGGCCCGCTCGGCGCGGCCGGGATGCTGCAGCAGCAGCAGCAGGAGCAGGAGGAAGAGGCCGCACAGCGCCCGCACGGCCCGGCCCGGCCGCGGCTCCATTTCCGCGTCCCCGCCGCCGTCAGCTGCTCCTCGGCATGGGCACCGGCTGGGGGCCGCGGGTGTCCCGGTGATCCCGGCTGTCCCGGCACCGCCGTCAGCTGCGGCCGCGCACCGGCTACCGGAACCCTCCGCCCCCCCGCCCGCAGTGGTGTCTCCCAGGACAGCCTCCCCCCCGCCGCAGTGGTCTCTCCCGGGACAGCCCCAGTCCCCCCGCCCTCAGTGGTCTCTTCCCGGGATAACCCCGCCGGCGCCCCGCGGCTCTGCCGGGATAACGCTCCTTCCCGCCACCCTCGCTGTTGTCCCACCGGCCCGCTCCGTCCCTCCGCCGCCTCCTGGCAGCGGTGCCTCCCGGAAAATCCCGCTCTGTCCGTGCCGGGACAGCCCTGCCCCCCCCCCGCGCCGCCGCGGTGGTCTCGTCCGCCCCCCCCGCGCGCCGCGCTACGCACCGGGCCCTGGCGCCGCCGCGCGCGCTGACAGGGGGCGTGGCCAAGCGCCGACGGGCCACGCCCAAAGGGGGCGGGGCCAACGGGGCGGGAGCGGGGCCATGCCCCTGAGCCCGCCCGCGCGCGCGCGGCGCTGGCCCGCAGCGACCCCTGGCGGGCGGAGCGGGGAATGGCGGGGCCGGGACAGCGCGACAGGGACACAGCGACAGGGGATACACAGCGACAGGGGATACACAGCGACAGGGACACATCGTGACAGGGACACAGCGACAGGGACACATCGTGACATGGGACACACCGACAGGGACACACGGACAGGGACACACCGACAGGGACACACCGACAGGGACACAGCGACAGGGACACACCGACAGGGACACAGCGACAGGGACACAGCGACAGGGACACATCGTGACAGGGACACACCGACAGGGGATACACAGCGACAGGGACACACCGACAGGGACACATCGTGACAGGGACACATCGACAGGGACACAGCGACAGGGACACAGCGAGAGGGACACATCGTGACAGGGACACACCGACAGGGACACAGCGACAGGGACACATCGTGACATGGGACACAGCGACAGGGACACATCGACAGGGACACACCGACAGGGACACACCGACAGGGGATACACAGCGACAGGGACACATCGTGACATGGGACACATCGACAGGGACACATCGTGACAGGGGATACACAACGACAGGGACACACCGACAGGGACACAGCGACAGGGACACACCGACAGGGACACATCGTGACAGGGACACATCGTGACAGGGACACATCGTGACATGGGACACACGGACAGGGACATACCGACAGGGACACAGCGACAGGGACACACCGTGACAGGGGACACACCTAACATGTGACACACCCCGACACATGACACACCCTGACATGTCACCCCCCACCCATGTCACAGCACCCCGCTCTCTGAGGGGACACTCTGGGGTCCCAGCCCGTGGTTCCCGCTTCCCGGGGGGATTTAGGAAATTCCGGCACCTCCTGGAGCTGTGACACCCCAGGGCCACACACCCCCGGCTGGATCAGTGCCACCAGTGTGTCCTGAGGCCACCAGCTGCGGGGGGACGGGGAGGGGACACAGACAGGGGACACGTCCTGTCCCACCGCTCACATCTGTCCCACCCCTCACCCTGTCCCCCTCTGGCCGGGTGTTCTGGGAAGTGACACCCCTGTCCCTGGAGCAGGCTCCTCCCATGTCCCCGCTCTGGGGTGGGGGTCCCAGGCTGGCCCCTCGTGAGGTTCCCCGGACACGGCGAGTGTCCAGCTGGGGCACGGGACCGGCCTCTGTCCGGGCTGGTGTCCGGCCTCTGTCCAGGCTTATGTCCGGCCTCTGTCCAGGCTTATGTCCGGCCTCTGTCCGGGCTGATGTCCGGCCTCTGTCCGGGTGATGTCCAGCCTCTGTCCGGGTGATGTCCAGCCTCTGTCCAGGCTTATGTCCGGCCTCTGTCCGGGCTGGTGTCCAGCCTCTGTCCGGGCTGATGTCCTGCCTCTGTCCGGGTGATGTCCAGCCTCTGTCCGGGCTGATGTCCAGCCTCTGTCCGGGTGATGTCCTGCCTCTGTCCGGGTGATGTCCGGCCTCTGTCCGGGTGATGTCCTGCCTCTGTCCGGGCTGATGTCCTGCCTCTGTCCGGGCTGGTGTCCAGCCTCTCTCCGGGCTGATGTCCTGCCTCTGTCCGGGCTGATGTCCTGCCTCTGTCCGGGTGATGTCCTGCCTCTCTCCGGGCTGATGTCCAGCCTCTGTCCGGGCTGGTGTCCAGCCTCTGTCCAGGCTGATGTCCGGCCTCCATCCAGGCTGATGTCCGGCCTCTGTCCGGGCTGATGTCCTGCCTCTGTCCGGGTGATGTCCAGCCTCTGTCCGGGCTGATGTCCAGCCTCTGTCCGGGTGATGTCCGGCCTCTGTCCGGGCTGGTGTCCAGCCTCTGTCCAGGCTGATGTCCAGCCTCTGTCCGTGCTGGTGTCCAGCCTCTGTCCGGGCTGATGTCCGGCCTCCGCCGGGTGCCACCTCTGGTCCCCGTGCTGGCACTGGGGAAGATGCCGGCTGTGGGCGGGGGTCCCACAGCTGCAGACCCCGGGATGGGGATGGGGACAGGCCCCTCGCTCCCGGGAACTGCCTCCCTCCATCCCCGGCTGTCCCCACGAGCCCCAGGGACCCTGACGGGCTGCGGGCACTGCTGGGGGGACCTGGCCCTTATGGGGGCTCGCAGCTTGGGGGAGCCGGCCCTTGGGGGTCCCTCACAGCAGCCGGGCTCCTCCGGCCCGGCCCGGCCCAGCTCGGGGCTGGGGACACTCCCGCAGCAGCCCGGGGCCGCCTGCTCCCCTTGGGGTGCAGCAGGGGAGCCCCAGCTCCCCAGGGACAGCTGGACCCCCTTTGCTGTCACCCCCGGTGCTGTCACCCCCGGTGCTGTCACCCCCTCCCCACCCACACCCCCAACAGCCCGAGGGCAGGGGGTGTCACCTCCCCCCGCCATCAGCCCCCGAGGCCCCAGGCAGCCCCGGGTGGGGTGGGCTCCCCTCCCTTCTCACCCCCTGCACCCCCAGAGCTCTGGTCCCCCTGGGCTGGCAGTGGCCGCCCCGGGGTGTCCCGGTCACCTCGGGGTGTCCCTGTCCCCAGCCCTGTCCCCAGCGGTGGGGTCGGGGTGAGCGGCAGGGGGCCAAGGGGGGTCTCAGGGGTTGAGGGGTGGGGTCAGGGATGAGTGCCAGGGCTGCGGAGGGCAGGGGTGGGG